AATAAGAAAGTATATGATAAGAAAATATGAAAATATAAAAAACCTTTATATTATTTTTATAAAATTTAAACTATATTGCTATTTAGAAACATAATCATTTCAATTTTTTTTATGCCAGTCGTGTTCTTCTATTATTAATTAAGTTTCCTGTTTTTGAAAATAATTTCTCACATGGCACGGACGTTGCCACTATATTACATTTTGTCTTAAATAATTCGGCTGAGTTAGGATAAACGTGTTGGTGTTTTTTCCACCACTCCAGTGGGCAGTTACATTTACCACTCTCATTTAGACGAGGCAAAATATCACCTTTAAAATAAAAATCAATTTCTTTAATTGCTCTCGATAATGCGATGGTTTGTAGACGTTTATCTGCCATAAGTTCGTTAAAAATACCTCAAGCATTTACATTCTCCAATGGAGGTGCGGATTGTAAAGCTGTTGATGGCTCTTGAAAATTTTGTAACTGATTGTGGCTGGCTCTATTCTTTATTTCTATTATTTCCACAATTAAGCTTCGAAGTTTTTTTTGGCATTCTCCAAAGTTGATTGATCTTCGAATACGTGGTCCTTATACCTCGGATCCAATAATGTGCACAAGGCAAACGTACTGTTACTCTCAATATGTTTAAACTTATCTTCAAGCCCTCTTTTCAGAGATGTAATAACAATTTTGGCTGCTTTCGAATACTCCTGTTTTTTTTCCAGCCTCTCACAAGTATCTTTCAAACATCTTGTAATTACAATGACGGAACTCCCAGTCATATATTTCTGACCACTTACAGATTTAGTCATTTCCTCAAATGGGCTCAATATTTCGCAAAGTTACCTACATGTTTGCCATTCTTCACTTGTTATTACTGGCAAATCTTTGTCTATTAAAGTTATAGTAGCCCTGATAGCTTCTTCTAACTCAACAAATCTGTGTAGCATGTAAAAAGTTGAGTTCCATCGGGTGGCTACGTCTTGTATAAGACGTTTCGGTTGCGAAGTGCCAGATGATACCTGATATTTTAAAAGTTTTTCATTAGCTAGAGAGCTTCTTTTGAAGTGACTTACTATTTTTTTTATTTTTTTTAGAATGGGTTGTAATTCCTGAAGAGACTTCTGCACAATTAAATTTAATGTATGTGCATAACAGCCATAGTGTTTCCATTTTAAAATATTCTCAATGGCGTTAGTAATATTTCTAGCGTTGTCAGAAACAGCGAAATTTACCTTAAATAAAAAAAATTTATTAATAGTACTTATACATAAATCAGCTAATAATAAATTAATAGATACAATTTATTAAAATTTACCTTATCTTGCAAGTTCCACTCCGTTATTACATTTCTGATTTCTGTTGCCAAATTATTAGCTGTATGGCTTCCAGTGATATTAGAACACTTTAATAAAATTGATTTAAAATCGAATTGCTTTGTAATATAGTGACCAGTAATTGCTATATAACTTTCAGTAATGGAGGAGGTCCAACAGTCTGTTGTAATGCATACATTTTCTGCTTCTTGAAGTACAGTATTTTTTGTTGATTCAAAACATTTATGGTACAAGGCCGGTATCATGACGGAAGAAATGGTTTTTCTTTCAGGTAACTCGTATCCGAAAATCTACTTCATTAATTTGGAAAAACCGGCATCTTCGACAATGCTAAATGGTTGAAAGTCTTTTTATGAATAGGTCAAGCAGATCTCGATCTATCAGTTTTCTTTGATCTGGTGACATTTTTTTTGCAATGTACGAACTCAGTAATCTTTGGTGTTTAACTGGCGGTTGTGTAGTAGAAGAAGTATTAATATTAAGACTTGAAGTTGAAGGAGTGCACTGAGAAAAAAATATACTATAAAAAAGGAAAATTTTCTTCATTTTAGTAAACGATTAGTTTGCATACAACTAAGACTCATTTTTCTTAAGTTAAACAATTTTATTTACTTATTTGAAGAAAATATTTTTTAGTAGAAGCAAATTAGAGTCATTAATATTAAAAATAATTTTTTATAATATAAAAAATATATTTATATATAAAGAAAATGATTATTTTTGGAAGTAAATTGTTTTCTGTAATATAATAAATATTTATTTATTTAAAAGAATAAATTTGTTTTTAAAGTAAGTGATATATTAATTGTAAAAATTA